TCGCTTGTTCGTAACATGGTGGAGCAGTTGGACCTCCTGCATTTGTAGAGTACATCTGACCGCCAAACTGTCCAGTCGGATAAGGTTGCTGGTTAGGACCAATACCAGTATAAGGCGGGGGAGCATCGAACATAAAAACATTTCCAACTGAAACGTCAGAGCTCAAAGCAGAATTATTCAAGTGCAGAATATGCGAGGCTCAGCGAACAAAGATTCAGGTTATATAAATAATAATTCGTTAAAAGTTCCCATTAAAAGTCATCATTGAAAGCCAAGACCAACACTATAAGAACGGATGTGAAAATTAAGGCGTGAATATCATGGTCGCATAATTAAATTTTTTTCCTTGCACTCTAAAAAACTGGCACAAACCTGGTGGCTGGTCAGGGAAAACGTTGGTAGGAGCTTGAAAACCGTTGTAATTGTTGCTTGGGGGCGTATAATACGAAGGAGGAGCTTGGTAAAAAGTAGTTGGAGGTGCAGAATATGGTGGTGGAACTCCATATGGTTGGAAGTGGTGAGCTAAACAATAAAAAAGTTCACCCAAACAAGAATACCACAAGCGAGCAAACCAAAATTATTTAATTTCATACATTCCACGATGGGAATCTAGAAAATTATGAGTACGGAATTCTTCGCCCCGAGAAAACCTAGCCCTCCTTCAGTGATTAAACTGTCTCTTGAGCAAATCACTTAAAAACGCATATTTCACTAACCGAATGTTTCTGTGACTAAAAAGTTTAAGCCAGCAAGGTTCAAATATAAATTTGAAGTTCCTACTTGAAGACGAAACATTACTGTTAAATTAAAACCACACGGCTTCTAAGGTGCAGACTCTTACCCATATCCGAAGCTTTAAGTAAAGCTTGACCAAAATCGATGCAACCACCTTTGTTAAATGTTAGCTTGAAAGTTACTTCGCCTTCCCAGTTACCTAAAAGAAAAAAATACTCGTAAGTGCTGCAACAAACTGTCGTATTTTAATAATTGAAGTGAATACCTAATGAAGTATCAAATTTTACTAATACTGACAGCCGTTAGTACTTTAATATTATGCGAATATAATTGGTCATAAAAATTTACTAAATCTCCTTAGTAACCCCAAATTTCAAAAATCTTTTTACTGCCGACGTTTGGAAGTTTTAACTTGTGGCTGTTTTAGTTCCAACTCCAATGACTCCGTTTTGTTAAACTCTTGTTATGGTAAAATTGCATAGATTTAACAAAATATTTAACATGCAAATTGAAGTAAAGCAAATATAGTTCTACAATAGAATAAGAAGCCGGCAAAGTATTATGCCAACACCTCCTGGTTGTGCAAGAGCAGTTCCTTTCAAATAATTTGCCCCAAAAACTGGCTGCTCAAGCTTTAGGTCCCTTATACAATGAAAAGGTAAAGATAAGGACCCTAAGGCGTCCAGATGTCGATTAAGAAAGATTATCTGAAAACCATTTAATTACAGTCATAGTAAAAATCACTGAAGTCTTTTTCTGAGTAGTGCTCCAAATACTCTGATAAACAGCAAGACAAAGGAGCACCAACTGCCAATTGGAAACAAGTGAAGAACTTGAGATACAAGTCCTTGTTTCTTTAGTGTTATGAAATACTCAAAGCTCCCAATCCTGCTATTAAGATATCTAAATAACTAGTACATGCAACGGATTTCAGTCGTTAACACTTTAAACTACTAAAATAGCACAGTATAGCTGTTTTTGCTTCATGAAAGATATGACGGTTTAAAAAAATCTTTTGAATTAAAGTAAGACTTTACCCTGTGGCTAGTCAAATAAAGGTTCCCAGTCTTTTTCCCATGAAGAGCAGGGTGTGGCCCATTTGAAAAGCTAATTTCTACTTCCTTGGTATACAGCAAAATCCTGACAAGTACTTCATATCTGATTACTAAGAAAAGTAAAAGCTAGAAAAAACAAACGAAGGCTTCACTAGGACAACTTTTTGAATTAGAACAACAATATAACATTTAAAATTAGAATAACTTACATCTCACCATTGTAAATTAGCACACCGCGGCCATCAGCAGTGTGAGAAACGTTTAGCGACATACTGCTTGCCTGAAAAAATTGGTCGAAACAACGTTCTCAACGTCAAATACTAACTGATGATAGAGTGTTTATGTATTAGGTCCGAAGAACCTAGAAGATGAATAAAATAATGATCTGAGCGTAATACGATTTCATCCTCATTAAATCATGTATTTGTAAGATCTTGAAATGAGAGCCATGGCAAATCGAAAAAACCATAACAAATAAGAAGGTAACAACTTCCACAAATAAACTTCGTAAAAACCAAATTTCTGTCTGGCAAAAAACCAGCATATTAAAAACATAGTTCTACTCCTACTGAATCTTTCACGAATTGTAAACATCGAATAAAGTTATAGAAAGATCAAATACTACAAAACTTTTTTCTGGTGATTCACGAAATAGAATGACAAGTAACCAAATCACTAACTGTCAGAACTGAACAAAACAAGAGATATTTGCAACTGAACTGGCAATATAATATGTAGAAAAATAATATCAGTAAGTGAAGAAGTTTACAGCAATTATCCAAGTAAGGATCGAAATTAAAAGTAACAACAGAAATAAATGTTTACTTTACATCGTTCAAGGCAAAGTCATGTCATTTCAACTAAATATAACTTTGTTGAATAACGTTCTTCATTAAGTTGAAATCACCTGGTGCATTTGTAAACAGTTAGCGAAATCAAACTTACGGGTAACAAAATTTATTTCTTTCTTTTTTTCCAACCAACTAGCATTATTTTCTTTGAAAATCATACATATATCATTTACAGCATATGTGCAAAAAAGTATTACTGGATATAAAGTCCTCGGCAAATGCAATCATGAAAAAACAGGTTCATTATGGGTTTAATCCCTAAGAAAATATGTTCAAGCATTTTGTTACGTCAAGTATTTTCAGACGATGCTAATAGCTGACGAAATAACTCAGTTAGTTGAGGATAAGCGAATTTACAATGAAATTTAGCAGCGTACGTGGGAATGACTAATTCAACGCCGAAGCGTTTGAGCGATGGTGAAACTAAGATAAAATGTCACTAAAAAATTATCTACAACAGTTAGCGTCTGTTAGCCAACAGGCAGTTTAAAAAAAGCTTTATTACCAAGTTATGTAGAACGGACTTAACCAGATAGCTTCAGTACCAACGACCAGTGAGTAGTACGTAAAACAGTATTGTCATTAAAAACAAGCGTTACAATTGCCGGACTGCGCCAAAAATCACACTGTGCTATAAAACTATGATGAAATTTTGGCACAAATCCAGTTCCTAAGTTCTGTATTAAAAAAAATATATTACAACTAAATATTTTCTTGTTATTTTGGTTTACATAACTGAACTTCATCGTCATGAAACTGACGGCTCTGTGGAAATTTTGTAGTTTAATTGCTCTTAGTTACTAGATTAATTGCTGATGAGTTACCGGCTATCGAAATGTCATTAACAGCATTGTACGGCCTTGCTGTGATGTTGAAGTTTGCAAACGACAATAAATATCTTCTAGAATCTTTTTGTTCATTCCTGTTCTGAACTATAGAAGTGTTTTTCGTTGGAAAATCATAAATTTCTGGATGGTTTTTTTCCATTGTACCATTAAATTTTCACGAAGAGTTTGTTAGAGCCGTTGCTAAATACGTGTTTATTTCTTACCTTTTCTGCATAAGAAGTCTGAAACTGTACCCTCCCACGCTCTTCACCTATTTGAAATTCATTTGCGTGGTAAGTAGGGAAGAAAAAACTAATTGTTACCATCGGGAAGGAGACTAGAGAAAAGCGGGGTGGTTCTTATGCATAAAAGAAAAGAAAAACATTCAAAGGTATACAACTCGATAATGAAAAGGTCACCAGCGTTGAAACATAAGTTAGGTTCTTAAGTAAGTAGGTGTAGAGCGTAGCAGGGTACAGTTTCTCAAAGTATTATGTTTAAAAGCAGACAAAAGGTAGTAAAGTTGTTGTAGTTAGTAAAGTTGTTGTAGTTTGTAACAG